TGGAGCATTTCTGAGGAGACTGCTCTCCCACCAAATGAAGCTCACTCTACTTCCTCTTTGGAAGCTTAGTAAATAATGCAGCAGTGTGCCTTGAAGTAGTTTTATTGGCCTACTGACCATAATGTTAGTATAGCTTCATTTATGTAGTCAGCCCCAGAATTTGAGCATTTGGATTGCTTGTAGGAATTTAGTGCTTTTTTTTTTATTTTATTCAGTTAACCAAGCAAGTAGCCTAGCCTGATTTGCTTAAACCCAGATAAAGTCACACTGAAAAGGGAAGAATGGTAGGGTGCTTCAGGGTCGGAGTGAAATGGAAGCTTCCCATTGAATGCACTCTTGACTTCTGAGTCCCGTGAGCACACTGACTACTCAAAGCACACATGCTGAAAGCTTAATGTCTACTAGAACCTGGATGTTGAGATGGTAACTTTTCAGTATGTGCTGTCCCAAAAGTACATATCACGTGCCTTAGGGACTCAGAGAGCTCAGTGTCTCAAGGAATGATGACATTTTCACTGAACCTTGAAAAATGGATTTGAGTCAGGCTGGTCTGAGACTGCCATGGACAAAGAGAGGCCTAACTTGGGACAGATTGAGGAACAAAGGTATATGTGGTGTGGACTTTGCACAATTGAAGGTAAATAAACCCTTAAAAAAAAAAAAGACAGGGTCTCCTTATGTCATCCAGGATGGCCTAGACCTCAAAGTGATCCCCCTGCCTCAGCTTTCTGACTGCTGAGATTACATGGCTGAAAATGAAACTGAGGGGACCAGACCCAGGCTCTCCAAGGCTACAGCATCTTTGAAAGTTTGAAATAGGCCATCAACATAGCAACATGTCTTTTTCTTCTCTTTTCTTTTCTTTTCTTTTCTTTTCTTTTCTTTTCTTTCCTTCTTTCATTTTTAGTCTCTTAATTTCCTTTGCAGCAGTTGCTCATTAGCTAGGCCAGGCTAGCCTGGAATTCTTTGTCTGAACCTGGCTGTCAAGAGCAGTCTGTGCCGCTTGCTTTGGTTTTCATTTTGTAAAAATAGTCATTGATAGCAATCCCTCTAAAGGTCGTGTGAAGATCTGTGAGCAACAAGCTTCTGTAGCACAGGAAACAATGGTAAGAGCATAAGCTGGAAAGACTCATTGTTCTCCTTTGCCCCAGGTCGTAGCAGATTAATCCAGAAAGCTCTTGATTCTGGACAATCACTCAGTCCCATTCAATAGGAATGTTTGGTCACCCTTGCCTAAACCAGGCACTGGAAGCTAATGTGCTGGCTCTAATAAATGACCAGTGATCAGTGGTTCCAAGGATCCTGAAAGCTCCACCTGGGTTGCCCTGTACCCTCTCAGATCCATTGTCCAACCAGCACTCCTGCGCCTCCTTTACTACAGTCTAGACCCAGTGGCCTCAGTCAGACACAAAGAGACTTTCAAGGAGCAGTTCCACTTAACCACCTTCCAGTCTTCTCTTCTCTCCTGCCCCCTAAGCCTGAAGCTTCTTTCAGAGGCAACTATTCCCTGAGTAGCAGCAGAGTGCTGTATTTTTGTATTATGGTATCTTTACACCCTAAGAGATCATGCTCTTCACCCCGAAGCCTGGTAGATCCCATTATAGCCCACAGCCGAATTCCAGTGCCATGGAACAGGTGTGGGCACCAGCTACCATGTGAGGGGCTTTCCAAACCTCACAGCAAATCCTCACAACAAATAAAAATGAGGAATCTTCTCTATTTAGGTGTTTGTGGGTTCTTTTGGTTTTGTTTTTTGAGACAAGGTCTTATGTATCCTGTACTGGCCTCAAAGTCACTATGTAGTCACGGATGATCCTAAGCTCCTGATTCTCCTGCCTTTATTTCACAAGTTTTGGCATTATATGCATGTGCCAACACACCCAGCTATGTCTGGATAATATCTTCTACCAAATGAGAAAACCAAGACTTGGGAAGTGTATCCATAATCCCTTTATCCAGCACATTTTAACTTTTTCTTTCTTTTATTTTTGAGATTATAATAACATTTCTCCCTTTCCTCCCTCCAAATCTTCCCATATACCTGTCTCTTGCTGTCTTTCAAATTCATGCCGTCATTTTCCATTATTTGTTGTTGCGTGTGTGTGTGTGTGTGTGTGTGTGTGTGTGTGTATTTCCCTAAATAACATGCTCTTTCCATCTGTCCACATGATGTTACTCATATGTCTGTTTTCGGGGCAGACACTTGTCACTGGACAACCAACTGGTATGCTCTTCCTTCTGCCCTCAGCTTTCCTCGGTTGCCTCTAGTTCTTTGTGTAGGATTGAGGCCTCCTGGGCTTTTTCTCATCCTCCTGGCATATTTGTTGGGTGTCAGCATTGTTCAGCTCACATTTGGACCACCACACTGGGGAGACTTTAAGGGTATAGCTCCTGCTTTTACGTGGAGACACAATCTCACAGCAAAGTTCCCTGATCTCTAGCTCTTACAATCTTTCTGCCGCCTCTCCCTCAGTGTCCCCTGGGACTTCGGTGTGGGAATTGTTTGTAGATGTAGCCATTGGGACTGAGCTTCACAACTCCTCTTAATTGCTTGTGATTTTCTGTAGTGGTCTCCATCAGTTGCAAAGAAAAATTTCTTTGATGAGGGGTGAAGACAACACTTACCTGTGGTTTTAAGGATACATGTTTGGACTGTACTCAGGAATTATGCTGATTTAGTAAACTGGTGGTTGTAGATCCTCCTCCAGTGGCCATGACTTCAGCTACTGGTATCAGGCATCGTTTCTCCCTTGTTGAATTGGTCTTATGTCCAATTAAAGAGCTGTTGATTACTAACCACAAAAGTATGTGTACCAGGACTCCATCCTTAGAGTTATTGTGTTATTATTTTTCCGGCGCTTTTTCATAAGTTCATATTACTGTGTACATACTAGTATCTTGGATTTCAACAGCATGTATTCCAGTCGGGAGTTGGGTAGCAAGTGATGGAAGTCTATATGTCATCAGTAACTGATTTTGGGCCACTAGCAAAGTCAAAGCAGATGGAAGGTAAAGCTCTTAGCCATGTGACCTTGAATGAGATTCTTTTACTTTCTTGGGGACCAGGAGCTCTCTGATCTCTCTCACTGGTTCCAGCACGAACTTGAGTAAAGTTTACCCTGTACTAGATGGCTCTGAGCTATATGGTAGGGACATGGAGGTGAGAGACAGTTTGGCCCTGCCCTTGTTCTGATTCCATCTGTTACCGCCAGACTTTTTCTAGATTTACTCAGTATCCACATCTAAAAATGGAAAGGAGCAGGGACCTGGTCAGTAAGTGCCTCAGAGCTCTTTACCTGGTGCCTTGTCTTGCCTGGCATGGCCTCTGCAGGCTCCTCCACATCTGCTGTTTCTGAAAGAGCCAGGCTTTCCACCCTTACCTCTCTCTCCTCCCCCTGAAAATTCTCAATGGACATGGTTTTCCCTCTGGGTGGCCATGGAGCTCCAAGAAGTAACTTGAGAGCCCTAGCTAGCTCGGGAGAAAGAAAAGCAAGGGCTACATTTGACAATTAAAACACTCATGAGAGTGGCAGAAAGCTTCCCAAAGCCCAACTCTAGAGGCCTTATGGAGGGAATATTGATCTTTTCCAAGTATATACACATTAAAAAAAAAAAGATCACAGCCAGGCAGTTATGGCACATACCTTTAATCCCAGCACTCAGAGGGCAAAGACAGGTAGTCTCTGAGTTTGAGGTCAGCATGGTCAAGCAGGGAGTTCCAAGGCAGCCAAGGTTACACAAAGAAACCCTGTTCAAAAAGAAAAAAGAAAAAAAAAGTCTGTCTCTTCTGTTAAAACCCAAGCTTATTAAAGTCAGAAATTGCCAGGCAGTGGTGGTGCATGCCTTTAATCCCAGCACTTGGGAGGCAGAGGCAGGCGGATTTCTGAATTCGAGGCCAGCCTGGTCTACAGAGTGAGTTTCAGGAAAGCCAGGGCTACACAGAGAAACCCTGTCTCGATAAACCAAAATAATAATAATAATAATAATAATAATAAAGTCAGAAATTGTGTCCATCATTTTCCCCACTGAATTCTCAGTTCATAACAACAGTGACTTACAAACAGTATCATTCAATAGATGATAACTGGAAAAAATAAATTCTGAGATCTGAACCTTGGTATGATCTTGTATTTTGCAAAGGCTGATAGACAGAAACATGAGCCATAACCAGAAATAAATAGATGGTCAATAGCCATAAATTGAATGATAGGAATGATGATAGCGGGAACTATTTCTTTGTTGGCTAGTGTATACACCGAGTCTTGTGCTGAGCAAGTGATGCCCATATAATCCTCAAGGTAAGACTGAAGCAGGCATTCTCATTGTCTCCATTTTACAGGTGGGTAAACCATAGCATGAGGAGTCACAAGTGTCAAGGCTTAGATCAAAACTCCTATTGTCCTGCTCTAAAGTCGACATTTCTACCCACTATACTGCCTTCCAATATTCATTTTCAAACATTGTGGGAGAAATAGATTAATTTCAATGGGGAATAACCATTGCAGGAAGGGAAGAGTGTGGCAGAGCTGGAGCTTCAAGCAGTGTTTTTCCTGCTTTGCCATATGGTGTCTGGCTGCTGATCCAGAACCCCTGGGAACAGAGGCACAAAGAAGAATTGGAGAAGTCCAGATATGCATGCTGAAAACAAATTCTACTGGGCTGAAGGAGACAGAGTGGTCACTGGAGCAGAGAAGCCAATGGAGCACCTAATTCTCATTTCCGAAGCAAGTACTATTCTGCTTTGCAGAGAGCTTCTAGGTAAGGTGAACCAAGCCATTCTTTTCTCTTGCACTAATGAGTCAGAGAACACTGGACAGCTAATGCTACCCACAGCCACTGCTGCCTCATCAAAATTACTGCTACATATACAGAAAGGACACATGTTAGATAGTCTAATATGCAACCTTATGTGTGTAGGAAGTTGGGGCGGGGCCGGAAAACTGGAGAAAAGGTTTGGTCAAGCCTGACAAAAGCTCAGCAGGTAACCAGCCCTAATGAGAAGAGATTAGAGCAAAGAGTCTGCCATCAGCTCCATCTAAGCGGCTTAGAGCTTCTGCTTGGGCTCCTTGCCACAGTGAAACTCTGGACCATGGCCTTTTTCTCCTGTCTAGATCTGCAGGAAGGCCTCCGAACACTCTCCGTATTACAGTTGATTCCAGTTTACGTAATTTTAGGTGAGTAAACTTCAAAGACCAGGGAACAGATCCAGAAAGAGGCCAGGCAACCCCACATAAGATTCCAGCAGCTGCTTGGGTCCCTCCACCCCTCCAGGGGTGGACTGAATGCCTAAGGCCAGGAGTGGGGTTCTAGCTGCTATGCTGTAAATGTTATCCATCTCAGGAGTTCTCCTCTACAAATGATCAGAAACGAATCATGTTTAAGAACAGGCCAGAGTGGTGGTTCCTTGATAAACTGATGGTACTAAAAAGATCTAAGGCGATTTCCCTACTATAAGAATGTTATAAAATTTTTCAGTAATGTCTGAGGACTGTATGAGTGAGATTTGAATTTTTAGGAGAAGCTAGCTGTTGTTCAGCAGACTCAGTGATCAGTGTTGGGCTTAACAGGCTTCCAAATGAAGCCAGAAGCCAAGGCTTTTCTGGGAAGTCGACTAGAGAGAGGCAAGCTTAGAAACTAGGTGGGGAGAAATGGTGCCATGTTGAATGACGAGATGTGTGGGACCTAGGTGGTACCAAGTCACAGCTAGGACAGAGGTTCTCAACCAGAGGCTTGTTGACTAAGAATTAAGGGGTAGCTTGGGGACTTTCAGTTTGGGTGGGAAGAAATGTGGCTTTCTTGTCATTCCTCTCTAGTTGTGGTGTAGCTGTTCCTTTGATTCTGAATGTAGGTGACAAAGTTTGGATGTTGATGGCAGTACCTGAGCTTTTGTCAGTAGCAGACATGGCAGAGATTTGCATTTCATTCAAGGAGTTGTTCATTAAAGGCATCTCAAAAATTTGCCTAAGCTGAAAATGACTTCAAAATTCCAGTAGTTATTAGAAGCACTGTTAAAGCTGTCTTCTTAAGGAATGGAGTGAGAAACACCTATGCTACTGTATCATGTGAGGCACGTGAGGGATGAGATAGCTGTGTTTTAATATAGCGACCCGCCTTTGTATGTTGAGTACTGGATCGATGCACTTAAAAGTGTTATTCAAGCCGGGCAGTGGTGGCACACGCCTTTAATCCCAGCACTTGGGAGGCAGAGGCAGGCGGATTTCTGAGTTCGAGGCCAGCCTGGTCTACAGAGTGAGTTCCAGGACAGCCAGGACTACACAGAGAAACCCTGTCTCAAAAAAAAGTGTTATTCAAAGAGGGGGTTTGTACACTTCATCAGACTGCCAGAGAGGATCCACAGCCCCCAGAAGATGCAAACTTCCTGTGCTTCATTAAAAACAGATCACGCCGAGCTCATCACCTATCTAACTTTAGCTGTAACGAGAAAAAGAAATTAAACCTGGCGAGATTTTTCTCAGCAGGTTAAAGCTCTTCCTGACCAAGCCTGACTTCAATTCCCAGAGCCCAAGGTTGAAGGCAGTATGTGACTCCTTCAGGTTGTCTTCCGAACGCTATACACAGCACATGACACATGTGCCCATTCACACAGCACATATCACATACATACACAAATAATAATGATGATAGTAGACAAATAGCTTTTAAAAGACAAGAAAGTTAAAACCAGGCAGGCCTAGTAGTTCACATCTGTAATCCCATCACTCAAGAGGCCTAGGTAGGAGTGTGAGTTCAAGGCCAGCCTGGGGTACACAGTGACTATTGAGTTCCAGGCCAACCTGATCTAAAAAGTGAGACCCTTTCTCAGCAATAAAGGAAGGAAGGAAGGAAGGAAGGAAGGAAGGAAGGAAGAAAGAAAGAAAGAAAGAAAGAAAGAAAGAAAGAAAGAAAGAAAG